TAGGGGAAGGTATTTGGGTCCCAACATAATGTTCCTTAGAACTACAGACATCCATTAAGGGAGATAGTAAGCATAGCAAGGGAACTTAATGCCTCATTCACATGGGTCAGGAGAACTGCAAATGGAATGGCTGACTCTCTAGCTAAACAGGGAGTTCAAAGGCAACAGCTTTTTTGGGCTTTATTGTAACATTTTCTGTTGAAATGTCTGTGCTCTTTCTGAAGTAACTCTATTTTAATTATACTAACTGAATAAAATTCTCACTTTGCTGATCCAAAAAATAAAAAAAAAAAAACAAGAAGTACTGAGAGAAAATTTCAACTCAACATATTTAGCCTACTTCTGTTAAATACCGAATAATAACATCCAAATTACCCCCCCTCCAGCACATTATATAGAAAAGTGAAACAAATCTAACTATTCTACTTACAAAAGTACTAACTCATTATGTTATTATCTCATTTTTCCCACTCATGAATTTTTCTTGACCATATTATTCATGGGTTTTATCAAATTGACTTTTGAATACTTCATAATTCGACTATATCCTCCTCAACCCAATTCCAGTTCTGCTCCACAATGATGATTGGATTGTCTTCAGATGTTTGCAAGTTTGAACTCCACAACACATCCCATTTATCAGAGATGAACTTAAAGGAACCTTCAGTGGCCAATGAACCATTGTTAGGGGTGCAACTCAGGCCGGGTAGGGTTGGGTTGAGGTCAACCCAAGCCCAACTCAAGGCAAGGGTACCTCAACCCTAACCCAACCCAATCCTCAACCCAAGAGCCCAACCCAACCTTAGAATATTTGACCTTAATGCAATCCAAGTGACCTTATTTTCATAATGATGTAGGACTGATATGATCCAATGTTGTACAGGTAAAAAAATTGAGTAAAACTTAAAACTAAATGATGATGGAAAGGGATTAGGTCCAAAGTTTGGGGTCAGGCTAGGAATAGAAAGGGGGATGAGGGGATTTCTTGTGTTATATGGCTACATGAAGTAATTCGGAGGCTAGCTAGTGCTGAAATTCTTGCAATGTACAGAAATTTCTAGAGAGAAAATAAAAAATTCAATATCTCAAGATTGGAATTGAGTTTCTTTGAACTGTTTTACAGGAAAGGTTAGATAAGTTACCAAAGCAGGGGATTGAATTTGGAGAGGTTTTAAGTAGGTTGGGCACAAAAAGATGAGAGTTCTCAAAATTAAAAACTTTTGAGAACTAAGGTTTTTAATTGGAATTTTTGAAAGAAAACTGTTTTAATGCACTGAAAAAGAGCCTTCAATATGGGGGATGGCTAAATCAGATTTGGGTTCACCAGGGTTTGGTAGGGAAGATTTAGAGAGACATGTTCCTCTCTCTAGAAAGATGTGTGGATGTCAAGAATTGAAGGGAATATAGAGGAGATTTACTCAGGATCAAATACAGTCCTGTAATTGACTTGAATGATGTTTTCTCATTGCCTTTTCCTAGGTATCTGATTGCTTTGAGTGGCTGAGTTCAAAACTTTGAGAGAGAAGACAAGAAGAGGAAGAGAGAGACAGACAGACCTAGGAATCACTCCTAGGATTCATCTTCCTCATCAGCATGTTTTCTTTAAGCTTTTAATGAAATCTTTACCACTTTTCAAAAAAAACAAAAAACAAGGAATCACTCCTACGGTCCCTAGAATCACTCTAGGGCTGTGGGAATCACTCACCACAAGTCACACAAGCAGAATATATATAGTTGTCTGGGGTCAGCCAGATTACTTGCAAAACTAGAAAACTCAAAATGACAACTCTACCACTCATAAGCCAACCTAAAGAAAACTAAATAACTCTAAACTACTTAACCAATGACTCTAAAAATTAAGCATTATAAAATTAGGAGTAGTAAACTCAAACTAATAGGCTGGACCCCACACACACACACATAAAAATGACCAAATAGAAAAATACATAAAAAACCAAAAAAAAAATCCAAACATCGACTCTTTGGATCCTGCATCACATAAAAATGCAGGACAAAAATCTCAATATTGTTTTTCTGAAACTACAGTCTCACTAAAGCTAAAATTACATAAAAGTTTAATAATACATAATAGATATTAATAGGGCCGTGCTAGTTTACACATAATACACATACATGTAACCAAGTATAATATATAAATATACAAATAGGGTTAAGTTGGGCTGGTCAGGTTTCCCAAAGCCTCAGCCCTAACCTAATCCATCCAAAATAAGGTTGGGTTGAGCCAAACTTCTAAATATCCCAACCAAATGGCCCAAAATCAGGTTTGGTCAGTTAGGTTTTGGATTGACCCACATCAAGCTGCTTCTCTAACCATTCTCATCAGGGTGAACTATGAAGCCTATCTTCTTGTACTACTCTTTGCCATCTTGTTTTCTTTCTTCTGTGGAGGCAGTGGCATGGATATTAGATTTACAAATCATGGCCAAATCAGATGGCTAAGAGATATCTGATAAGGCTGATTTTTGGCATGACCATTATAATTTTAAGGGGTTAGGCTGGTAACCATTATATGTGAATGACTTGCACCATATCACCAAAATGGCCATAACTTTTTCAAAGCACTTCTTTTATCAGTATTCAGTAACAGTGTAAAATTTTCATTGATTAAAATAGAAAGATAATGTACAACAGAGTGGTAAGATGGTCAGCCTCAGCTAACCATACCTAGGCTTTCCTAGTTAATTACAGTCGCCCCCTTGTCCAACCACTTCCCAATACAATGAGTTTCTCATTACCCCTGTTTTTCCAACCCATCTGCTAGCCCATTAGCTGACCTAGGTGTCCATTGTATTCTTGCTCCCAAATCCTTTATTATTTCTTAGCTTCTCTCGTTTCATATCTATATTTCTGTGGTCCCTCCTCGGTGCTGCCCAACCAACCTTTTATGACCTTAGTGTCCCCTTCGATTAATTGTTGTAACCCATGCTTTGTTTTCTTTAGACATGCCAAGGCTGCCTTCAATTCTGCTCTGCTTGAGTCCCCAAAACCAGTGGGACCTGAAAATAAAAGCACAATGTCTCCCACATGGTTTACAATTACTCCTATTCCTAATGGGCCTAGGTTGCCTAAGGCTGTGTTTGATTGCAATGCAAACACAAATATGTACACTGCAAATTTACCCTCTTTTTGGTTCATAAATGCAAACACGGTTCAGATTTTAAACCGTTTCTGCACTCATCTTGTTTGTTTGAAATCGGTGCTAAGTGTGGGCCCCATCATTAAATGCTCCAATGCCTTAACTTTGGTTAAAAAGTTGATTATCAAAAGAATACAAAATTGTATCCAAAAAATAGGTACAGTAATGCTCTCTTTTTAGAGTACAAAAATGTCAGAAAATACATTTTTTATCTGATAATCATTACATGTCAAACAAACACTTGCAAACGCAAACCGCAGTACATAAATACCCCGGCTCAGCGTTTGTATTGCAAATAAGGCTCCATTTGGGAAGAGTACAGATAGAGTACAAATACAAATATGTAGAGTGCATTCTAATCCATGCAAATAAGTTGGTTTAGTTTTGCATTGATAAATTTACTTTCTTGCCAAAATATTTATAGTTGTAAAGGGTGCAAACACAAATTCCTAGATTGGAATCTACCTTTTTTACATTGACCAACTTTGAGTGCAACGTTTGCATCCATTTTTTGGATGTAAACTTTGCTTTCATTTTGGATGCAAACATGACTTCAAATTTGTAAAGGCTGTCACTTTCAGTACATAAATGCGCTTACCAAACACCAGCAAAAATTGAACCACAGTGCATATATGCACTGAACTGGCATTGCACTCTTCCTAAATGGAGCCAGCTGCAACCGTCAAAACTTTTTCAAAACAAATTGGATTCACCAGATCCTAGTCTCCTTGGATAAGTAATTGAAAATCTATTCAATGACACCAAAATCATGTAAGATGGCATGTTTTCACCCTAAAGAAATAAAAGTGATACGATCATAACTTTTAACTTTTCAAAAATTCCAATGGAACACTATAAACTATTATGACACTCTAAAATGATATACTTTATTACAAACATTATGGATGAGTTAGAAAAGTAATGCGGTCAATAGCTCGCTATTTTGGGCTGTTCTAACTGTAGCTTGGTTTTTGCAATTTTGTAAGTGCAGGATTTTATGGGGTTATTGCTCTAATAGTTAGTTGACATTTAGGGTGTAGCTGCCTGATTTTCCATTACCAGATTTGGTTTTGTACTTTTTATCCTATTTAGGTATTAAGTTCTGATTATATGTCAGTTCTTCTGGATCAAAGTTTCAGAAGCTGTTATGCGGGTTACAGTTATTATGTTAGGGTGTTGTTTAAGTGATGTGTTTGGCTCGAAACATGTTTTTATTTTGAGTGTGAAAGCATTCTTCATTTGATGCTGGGGCCGAAAGGCTCATATACTACTTATATACTTCTTTTTTCTTTTTATGAATTTTTATTTATTGAAAAACATTAAAAATAGAAAATAATTCTTAATAAACTCAAACTGATCAATAACTCAAAAAATGCCACTAACTTAAGAATATCAAAAAAAWATATATATATATATATATATATTGCTTTCGCTCGCTTTAGTAGTACTACATGGCAGCTGTAGCAGTATTCCTTCACTCATGTAAATTACATCAACAAGGAGGGTAGTAGTAGACTAGTAGTGGTGGTGGTAGTAGCAGCAGGCAGCGGCAGCAGTAGTAGTAGTGCTTCATTCATGTAATAACAAAAATAATAATAGTAGAAGTAGTAGTAAAAGACAAGCCAGATACAAGTTATTGTGTTAATTCTTCTGCTGAAAAAATTATTGTGCTAATTGTTTAGGATTATAGATCAATTTTCCTTCACAATGCAATATTGCAATTCAATTGACACCAAGGTAATTTTCGTACTCAGAATCCAAATTAAAGGAAAAGTAGACGAAAGTTAAACGAGGACAGACCAACGTTAAGACAAAGCGACCGAGAAGAGATGCAAAAGCATACCAGACTGTTACAATTGATACACCTCCGATTTGCAGGAAGTTTCAGGAGACCACGAATGATCTTCTCATTCTTCTCGTCTTCCCTCATCCGACTCGCCATGTCTCATACACTTTCTAGCTCCTTCGTGCAATTCCAATCAGCAGTCAAAGAGGGGAAAAAGAAAATCTGAGAAAGAAATTCCAATGAAGATGCATCCTTTAAAGCTCAAAAGACAAATAATCAACCAAAGGTTGAACTTCAACAATAATTCAATTCTGTAAAGCGGAAATTCAACATATATAGAAGAATCTGTATCGTATTGAAGGTTTTAGAACAGATCCGAATTTATAACGCATCGAGATTAGCTAATTCAACTAGAACTTATTGGAGACTGGAAACAAGAATAGATAGACAAGAACTGGCCGGATACCTCTTAGGATGAACAAATTCGACTTCCAAGACCTAGCTGACGCTGAGATAATCCCGTAATGGTGATGATGATAACAGAGGAAGATCGATTGGATGCATGAATCTGCAGAGATTTTCAGACCTTTTCAGAGCTTTGAGACGAAGATCTGTGCAGCTAAATTCTCTATCTTTCTCGAGTAGAACCAGAGACATAAGAGAGAGAGAGAGAGAGAGAGAAATTACTCTTCTTTTCTTCGCCTATAGTCAAACAGAGGCAACTTCGCCGGTTTTGCCGGTTCGCGACCGGTTTTTTCCGGTCAGGAGATGAAATTATTGTTAAAGTAAAATTACCAAAATGTCCTCCAAAGGTGGGAGACAATATTTGCGCTGGCGGTCTGGCCCTCGTTCACAGCTGGATAATCAATTAATCACACTCCTCTATTAATGTATTAACCTTAATAAATCCTGTTGAACGGCATCTACGTGTCCTTTTTTGCTTTTTGTCTTGTTAGTTGTGTCATGTGTGTAATAAAGCAAGGTTACATAGAGCAGTAACTTTGTAAGTAAAATACAACCGTGATCATCGCTATTGACTTGTTAGACCAAAAGGGACTCACCGTATTTGACCTGTGAAGATGTCAAGGAAGGAGTACTTCTTTTTCGTCAGATTGGAATCTCTTGGGTAGAATGGTATAAAATTGATCACGTTATCGACCTTTTATTACATTCGGTGTAGCAACACCATCTACAGTGTGACCTCACAGAAATGCAAAATCGTCCAATTCCGACCGTGTTGTCAATTAACATAGGGCCCACAATATTATGAAAACATCAAATGAATAGCCGCCAAATAATCATGGCCGTCCATCTGGCATGCTGATTTCAACCACGAAGGACGCCATCATTGATCCTGGAAAAGTCGGGGGGGGGCATCATCATAAGATCAATCGGCTTTCCAATCAAGAACAAGGGGGAATGATCAAAGCGTGGGCCCCACCGGCGAGCGTTGGATTGGCAGGGGGGAACTGGCATCTGTTTGTCGTTTTGCTTGTGGCGGTTTGGTCACTTGGACAATTTGGTAAAGTCACCTGCACGGACCAGCTGCCTGTCGGCGGAGGATAATTGTGGCTCACCAGAATTCGAAAAGTCCCCGTTATTTACTGGACATGTTTCAGAGCTCACTTTTTCCCATAAATTTATTAAATACGCATAAAATTACGATAATGCCCTTGTAAGTTGTGTACTCCTGTACCTGTACTATAATCGATCCCGAACCAATTTGCTGATCATGATCAGAAGCCGTGTTTGCTAGCGTTTTCGCACGATTTTTTATGTCCATTGACGTTCGAGTTTAATACGCGATGATGCAGCAATGAGCCTAGACAATTGATTCGAAACAAATTTAAAAAAAAAAAGAAAAAAAAACCCCAAATTCACATCTCAGCGTGTATTGAAGAACATCTACAGGAAGATGCTCTCATTACTCAATACACGTATAGGATGGTAGTGGGGCGCTGATGCGAATTTCTTAAAAAAGAATATGAATTGCGAAATCGACGGCCTAGAATCTGTTACAATCACTCGATAAAGTGGGTCACGAGTGGTTGAGTTGGATGTTTTTAATGTGAAGCATCAAGCATGGATAGTTGGATGGCAACAACTCGGTACCGATAGAAATTCGACGTCCGCTCAACTCTAAAGGCAAAGAAATGCAAGTCGGGTCCGCAGCTTGGTAGAATCTAAGGTTATGTTTGGTTGCAATGCAAATAAATTTATACAGATGTAAAATTAAAGTAAGTGTAAATGATTTTAAATGTAAATTTTAATCTATTTTTATTTTAAATTTTAGTTTATTTTATTTAATTGTAATACAAACAAAGTAAATTATACTTTGCACTTCCATGTAAATAAATCTGCACTACAAACAAAAACGGCCTAATGGTCTATCGCCTATCCAGCTGGTCTTAGCTTAGCCCGGAAGTCGGACGATGGGCTCGAGCCTCTAGCAAGAGTTGTTAGGGATGTCAACATGTCGTATTCGGTATGGGTTAACCTTAATCCTGACCCAACCCTCTAGTGTCTCCACCCGACTCAATTTATAGCATTCCAATTGTACTTTTCCATTAGATGTTTCAAAAACTTAAAAGTCATTAAATTGAAATCTGTTTTATAGATTCTAAAATATTACTTTTCCATTGCAAAAAATAAAATGAAATACCAAAATCAACCTAAACACAAATCCTCAACTTTAATGCCATGGGATTAGAAGTTACAAAATTACAAGAATGCCCTTATATATTGGGTATCAATGTATCATGACCCAACGGAATGAGTCAATCAAAACCTAAACCCGAGTCGAGCTAAATAATCAAAAGTTCAAAACCTTAATTCACCCCTAAACCTGAATATATCTGACCCTATAGGTTTACTGTTTAACCCAATCAATTGACATGTCTAAGAGCGGAGATTTACCGCTTAGCTGCATATCACAAACTAGAGTTCACATGGGCACCCATGGGCGTGCCCCACAAGTGTCTCACAGAACATACCGATCATGTATTGGGAACATCTTCCAAATGCAAATGAGATCGAATCTGCTCTTCACAGAGGGCGCCTCACACCGATCTCACACGCACATCCTACCATGCATTGGGAATATTTCTCGTACTTGTAACTTATTATTCACGGGAAATGTTCCCAATACAAGGTGGACGTGCTTGTGAGGCGTTCATGTGTGAGGAGCAGATCTCGTTCTAATGCAAATATGGAAGTTTCTAATGCATGCTGAAATATGCATGTGGGGCTGGGGCACGCTGATGTGATATCCACAAATTATGTAATCAATTATGAGTAGTGTTTTAAAAACCAATTCGGAGCTCGAACCATTTTTGCCTTCGGGTCATTGGTTCAACCAGTCGGGTTGAATGGTTCAGATTGTGCCACATCATCACATGGATGTGTATTAGTGTGTATGTGTGTGTGTATATATATATATGCATTATATATGTAAAATATTAAAAATTGCAAATTGATATTTTAAAAGGGATTTTTAAAATATACATCATATATATAATATTAAAAAAGGGATTTTTCGCGAAATGGCACCTTGTAACATATAGATCTTAAAAAGTTACCAAAAAAAAAAACATCCCAATTAGATATCAAAGTGCAAAGTTATGGCCTCCGATAGTTTTCCATGCATTAAGTGTGCAACCCACGACCCAGTCACCAGGTCGAATGGGTCAATAGTTCAACCAACTAGGTCAAATGATTTTTGACCAAGTCAACAGTTTTTTATCGTCTAAAGGGTCTTGATCAGGTGACAACTCAAATAGTTTGACGGGTCGAATCAACAATGATTGAAAACATTGATTCTGAGTGAACACGCAAATGTATCACATAGAATCTGCTATACCCAGTGTATGTTTGTAGCATACACTGGCTGCGTAATCTGATGGTCTCCACGCAGATATGTTCGTAGCAGATTCTCCACACAGATATGTTTGTAGCATATCCGGAGTCCTAATGTGATAGACCATTGTTGTATGTATTTCTAGTTTGGTTGTGAAGAGCATCTTTTTCTATACGGTCTTCGACTCCTAGCCTTTAAATCACCAAGGCGTGCATTAAGATTTATGGGTTTCTAGTGTAGCAATCGAAAATCATGTTGTAGATAGGGGTGAGCAAAAAAATGAAAAATCAAACCAGTTGAAAAAACTGACCGAAATCGAATAAAAAAATCTTAACTAAACCGGTTGGTTCGGTTTCGGTTCAGTATTTTTAAAAAATTGAAGGTATCGGTTCGGTTTCGGTTAACCAATACAAAAAATCGACAACTAATCAAATTGACCAGTATACATATATTTCTATATTATATATATATTTATATATATTATAAATTAATAAATATGCATTATATATTTATAATATACGATATATTATTTATTATTTAAAAAATAATATTTTATATATATTTATAATTTTTTATTATATATTTATATATATTTTTTATAATATATTGTAAAAATTAAAAAACTGACGAACTGAACCGATAGTTAACCGATAGATTTCGATTTGGTTTTAGTTACCATTTTTTCAAACGATACTACCGATTTGGTTACAAAATATGCCCACATTTCAGTTAACCGAACCGTGAGCACCCCTAATTGTAAACGTAATGGTTCAGATGGTCATATAGCATTCTCATGAACAAGGACACACATGATCAAATATAATCCGAATTTCATCCTTACAAAATTTGTCCTCAAACCATCCTTACAACACTTGAGTCGACTTTTTTTTTAAGCCATGAAATTGAACACTTCAAACATTTCCCGTGAATGAAAATATATAAATTAAATATAAAAATGTTCTTAGTGCATAACTGCAAATGTTATGGGGATAGTATGAGAACCAATTTTGTGAGGACAAAATCACATTTCTATCAATTCCACTTAAGTACAGCCTCTCTATGGTAAGTCTCTACAGCCTTGATTCCCCTTAATTTGTAATTTATGTAATACCAAAAAAGAGAGTGGTCAACATATATTTAAATAGTAAAGAAAGTAGTTGACAAGATGCCAAATCCCGTCTGCATCTGGGGTGAGCTACCCTTATCGTATCTTCTACTATTACAACTATTAGACTAGCTTGATAGAAATTTTAACACTGAATGAGAAAAGTATGAAAGAAAAAAAGGCCAGGCGGCTATAACCATCAGCGTACAAACATTGACATTACCTTGGGGGAATTTGGGATTCCACATGTCAAGTTGGAATTCCTTTTTTTCTTTTGTTTACCCAGAAAAAGGATTTCCAATTTCTTTCTTTCACTCCGTCCAAATGAGGGACCAGTTGGTTAAGTTAAGCTTGGCCAAACCAGCTCGGCATCTCAACACCAACAACTGTTCTACATGATTACCATCATTAAAGTAAAATAAGGTAACCTAGTGGAATGATGTCAGCCATAGTTTTCAAAATCAGACCAGATGGTCGGATTGGAAAAATCAAGAATCAGTCTGTTAGAAATGTCTTTTTAGCAAAAACTATTGATTTGATCAATATTCGGCTGACCTGAATTGTCGAACCGTCCAGTGGTTTTTACTTTTTTATTTTTTATCAAAATAAGCCATCCGTTCAATTCAAATGATCAAATCATTCAACCCGGGAACCAGACTTCTAAACGGTTTGTTGTTCTGTTTTGTTTTAAAAACCTTGATGACAGCAGCAGTCATCGTTTTATG